GAAGTCTTTTCAAGTCCCATGACAAGTCATTAAATGGTTTTGGGAAACATTGATTTGGAAAGATCCATACCCTTCATTTGGCCACTGAACCCATGGGTAGGATATAGTTGGTTATAAGAATGTTAAGGAAAACAGGCTTAAAAGAGACGAACTTAACTTATAAGAAAAATATGGTTATGAAAATAAACACCAGAGTTCCTGATTTTGAGAAATCTATGTTTCATTGTCCACAAACCATTATGAAAATGCCAAGTATGTGACAATGATGTCACTGCTCCAATACCAGGGAAATTTGGAAGCAGCAGCACAAAACAAAATGAAGAGTTTTACTATATTTAATAATCTCATCGGGAACTCAAAATTTTCAAGCAACATAGCTTCACTGAGTCTCATTCATATAAACTGATATATTTGGTGCATCAGACACTTAAGGAAAAACAAAAATTTGAAATCGAACATTTGCTCCTTAATATATTTCTTTTTAAATAAAAAATGGCAGAACAAAGCTAATTGTCATTTTCATCTACCTTTTCCTTTTGTGTTTCTTCTTTTGAATTTTCAGTTCTCGAGTTTGGAGACTCTTTATTGGTCTGGTGGAGAATTTGAACATACACCTAATTGAAAAAAAATAAAACTCAGCAACACCAGAAAAGCATTGTCACCAAACAATAAATAATGCTCCCCTCCAAAATATCACTTAAAGATGAATACATTTCACGAGTTGAAAGGTGGCCGCACCTGCGGCACAAACCTTAAATGAAAAATAAAGACAACTGGGTTGTAGGGTGCCTTTCCCTCTTCAAAATAAAATTCTTTACCACATACAAGACAAACAGCACAAAAGTGAAAGGGCAGTGATGCAGATTGGATAGGCTTACAGAGTAATTGAATTAAGGCTTGTGGGCCACATATGACCACAAAGCAGGTCTATGGCTCAGGCCTGCTGAATGGAGGTGGCTGGCCTGTCAATAAAGACCCTTTAAACTGGTTAAATGCATCATAAGCATGTGCAGAGAGCTTTCTAGCTAACAGGTGGCTGAGTAAACCTCAGCTGGTGCCACACAGGACTATCGCGTTGACCTTCTTTAGGATAATTTCAGCTCTCTTTTTAAAAAAAATTTGTTACTGTACTTGCTGTGGTGGAAACAATTTAGGGATGAATAATTTCTTTTGGTCCCTAGAGGCGCGGTGGCTTTCTCTCCCCCTCTCCCTTTTTTT